AGCTATGTGGCTCAACACCTTTTGTTTGTTGTTTAGCCAAGCTGAGCCAGATTTCTATCCTGTGAAACTGGTGTGGAATGTTCCATACCTCCCACCACCTTTCAGTCTGATTGTTTTTTCCTACTTTGCTGTAACTAATATTGTGGAAATTTTGAAAATGAAAGGAAGATAACTCAAAGAAAATAAAATCTGTATGCGATCTAACCAACTTGAGGTAGGTAGTTATTTCTATTCTTTCCTCTAATCCTTTTTATAAATATTTGTACATCATGCACGTACATCCTATGAGGTTACATAGACATTTTTCTCTCTTAAACAGTGTATCATAAACATTCCTCAGTGTTAAATACTTTGAAAACGTACATAATGACAGCTTTATTTGTGTGTGCTCATGTGTGTACATCTTCAATGTACTTCCTGCCACTTGACCTGTTTCCTGGTTAACTTTATCTGCAAACACAACAGATACCAAAGCCTGGGAGGACAAGTATGGGTTCTGCCTTGCTGTTCAGGGCATTGGTGAGCAGCCCTACACAACCCACACCATCTGCTACCCTGGCTCATCCTCTCTGATGGGATGGCAGAGATCTCAGAGGCAGAGGCATCTTGATGTTCCTTGCCCATCCACCTGTGAGCAAAAGTCAGTTGGGCTCTGCAGACAGCAGGCTGTGGCTCATACATGCTCTGAGGAAGACCCACACCTTTATCACAAATAGCTGAGCATTAAGGCAGGATGGTCCAGCAAATTCCAGATATGATTTATTCCAAGGTGTGCAGCTTTAGCAGTTAGCACAGTGAGAAGCCTCTTGTTCCTGCCTTTCTAATGCTGCACATCAATAACAATTTGCTTGGCAAAGCTCTGGGTGCTGGGCCTCAATATTCAAACCACTCAGGAGGAAATAGAAGAATAATGTTGAGAAATTAGGTTGAAATACCAAATAACTCTTTTTGCCATATGCCTCCCAGTTAGCCTGTATGAAGGCTCATAACATTTATGAAGCATTAAGTGGTACATAAATGGCTAGTTATTGATATGTAGATAAGTAAAAGAAGTAAATAGAAAGAGTAAAAAAATAAACACCTGTACACAACACAGACATCAGTCCCATGTTTGACAAATTTTGGGATGTGATAAGGAATGAAGGCAACAGACTTCTAAAGCCCAAACTGGCAGCTAAGGCAAAAGTCAGAGGCAGAAGGGATGCTTGGTAGTCCACAGTTAAGAGGAAAATGAAGCCTGGGAGTTAAGAGCAGGGCAGTCATTTCAAGCCAAGAATAATCACAAAAGCAGAAGCACGCTCCCATATTTTATTCATGCATTTTTCATTAACTGTCAGCTATACCACTGCTATAACTATGAATCATGCAGTTTGAGACTTACTACCAATTACCATCATGTATTCCACCCTGAGCATGAAAGGATTTAAACAATTGCAAGAAAGATGTCGTATAAGTAGGTATAAGGAGGGGACAAATCTGTATTGCAAGGAAATGGTGTCAGTTTCATGTATTCCCATTAACATGGCAGTGACTGGTGAATCATCTTGGACACACATGGTGCAGTGATTATGAACATGGGCACTGTTTTCAAGCTGGCTGGATACAGTCTTAGTTTTGTTTTTTGGAGGGGTGGGGTGGGATTCCTTAACCTCTCTGAACCTTAGTATTCTACTTTGTAAAAAAGAACTAGCAACCACACCTCCACCCTTACATTGGTATACAGAAAACATTTTAAAAAAATCACATAACAAATGCAGCCCAGTTGCCCAGATCACAGTCAGAGTTCAGGGTATATTTGCTATTGATTATTCTCTTTCTTCAGAATGGACAGATTTACAAGAACAAATTTAACCAGGGTCTGAAAGTCTAGGAATAGTGGAGCTGAAATCAGTCCATCCTGTATTAGAACACAAAGCGCAAGCCCACTTCCCACACAGTCCCCCAAATGTCTGTTTTCTATTTCCAACTCCTAGTCACATTTAAAACACTATTTTAAAAACATTAAAGAAAGTGCTTTCAACAACGAGCCCTCGCCCATAATCATAGTCCTCCCCAGCTCATTTCCTGTTTAGTTTCTATCTAGTCTTTTCTCCAAAGGAGGGTTTTAAAGAATATAATAATCTTGGGATTTCTTGAGTTATTTTCTACTAATTCTCAGAGCCAGAGGATTTCTTTTCTAGCCCCCTTTCACACATATGTGACTCATTCTTTCTTGATCTCAATGTCCATGTTGATCAAATAGGGATAAAGATAGGTATATCACTTGATCTTTGAGCTCATTGGAAGGACCAGATAAGAAAATGAATATGATGATGCCAGCCAGATAGCTCAAAGAATAAGAGCCTGCAGTGCTCTTGCGGAGGACACAAATTCAGTTTCCAGCACCCATGCTAGATAGGTCACAACTGCTTGTCACTCCAGCTCCAGGGGATCTGGCCCTGATACTCTCCTCTAGCTTCTACAGGTGCCTGCACACACACACAATACTAAGATAAATCTTAAAAATAAGAAAATAAGCCAGGCATGGTGGCATATGCCTTCAATCCCAGCACTCGGGAGGCAGAGGCAGGCAGATCTCTGTGAGTTTGAGGCCAGCCTGATCTACAAAGTGAGTTCCAGGACAGCCAGGGCTGTTACAGAGAAAAACCTTGCCCTGAAAAAAAATAGTTATTGAAATATTAAGTGAAATAGTAATAACTGTCTTTGTTACTTCTGAGGCAGGCTGTCTGCAGGAACAGATGCAATAACAAGTATGACAGGACTTAGGGAAAGTGGGGTTATTAAATAAGCAGGAAAAAGAAAGTTTGAAATATGCAGTTTAAGGAAATGAGGAAATAACTCTCTCAATTGTGGAATAGCTTTGAAGTTTTTCCAAAATTACAGTAAATTTCACTCAAGTAATTTTCTTCAGTGATTATGGTAAGTTGTTGAATTGTATTGTTGTGGTTTGTGCAATTTTTCCTCTCTTTTCTGAAAAACAAAACAAAATTATATTCAATGGCCATTTATCTACTTTCTTAGAAACAATTCCTTCCATGGTCCTCCAATATTTAGAGACTATATTAAAAAAAGCCACCTATAAATTATATTAGGGAGTAAAGAAAAAAGTAATGAACTGGAGGGGTGAGCAAAAATAAGTATGCTACAGATGTTTAATCCCCTCCCCCTCCTAGAGCTTCCCCAAAGGAATTCCCTGCATGGATGGATTAGTGAGTGATGCTAAATCTGCTGAGCATTCCATGAGGTGATGACTGGAAGTATTTCCCATGGCAATGACTTGAAGTATTTTATACTAATCAGTACAGGTTAGGTTATGCTGTAATACCTATTCTCTCCAAAATTCAGAGTTGTGGAACTGTAAGAGTGGATTTCTTACTTACTCTAAATACTCAACATAAATTGACAGGGACCTTGTTCAGTTTGCTCACTCATGGGGCGTGATGATTAGTATTGACCAGGATCTAGAATCACTTAGAAGACATGTTTGTGAGGCATTATTTGGAATAAACTAGCCTCTTGTGCCCATGAGAATTGATTGGGTTCATTGTGGTTGAAAGTGGGCAGCCCCATTCCGAGGACTTGGATCCTGGACTGAATAAAACAGAGAAAGCTATCTGAACACAAGCATTCATCACACTGCTTACTGACTGCAAATGCAGGTTGACCAGTTGTCCCAATCTTCAGCTGCCATGAATTTCTTGGCATAATGGACTGTACCCTCAAGCAGTGAGCCAAAATAAGCTCTTTCTTCCCTAAATTTCATCTGTCAGAGAATTTTTATCACAGCACTAGGAAAAGTAGTTGATAAAGGGAGAAAGGCTGATAGGAATGCCACCTTGACCTGTGAGCCTTGTAAGTATCTTGGCAAAAAGTGGTAGGCAAGGTCCAGAAGTAATAAATTCCTTCTCTGCTCACATTGTTACCCAAAACCAATTACTGTCCCACACCCAGAGGCATGCAGTGGGTGGCAGTCATGTCTACCACTCACTCCTCAGATATTTATCCTTCAATTCTTTGAAGACCTAGGCCCCGACTAAATCCATCAGAGCTCCAAAATAGAATATTTTTCTTTCCCCAACATGGCCAGTTTTAGAGAGCACCATGGCCCTGGGAAATGGTCTACTTGGTGAAGCAGAAGCAGTTTGGTGCATGTCAACAGTTGGTTGAACTTGCTGGAGGAAGAATTCAGAGGCATACATGGAGTGGGAGAAACCCGTCCTGCCTCCCATGGGAACGCAGATATGCAGCATGGAGAATTTAACTCCATCCTCACACAAGCTTCTCCCAGCACTTAGGAATCTGTGTCTTGCTACTTAACACTGGCTGCTCTCATACTCCAGGCAGGGCACAGGCCAGGCCCTCTGTGGGATATCTGAGTCCTGTTGCAGATTAATGGAGATCATCATTGCTTTACTTTCACAGGAGAAGTGGGGCCAAGGGTGGACTGTTTGTTTGCACAGACACCATTAGGCTTGGCCCTCAGTTGTTTGAAGAGGCTTTTGAGAGCATCTTCTGAGGTTTGGGAATTAAGAAGCATGAGGCCTGCCTTCCAGAAATAGCCTTAAAACCATCTCACTATTTATGTGTAACTGTGTACGCTCACATGCATACACATGTGTGCACCTGCATGTAGAGACCAGAGGTCAACCTTGAGGATTGTTTCTTGGGAGTCATCCTTTCTAGTTTTTAAATCAGTGTCTCTCAATGGGACCTTAGACACCAGTTAGGCCAGATTGACTAATCAATGAGCCCTCGCAATCTACCTATCTCCACCTCCCCAGTGCTAGGAATACAAGGACCACCACACCTGGCTGTTTATATGAATTCTGGAGATCAAACTTAGGTCCTCAAGCTTGCATGGCAAACACATGACAGAGCCATCTCCCCAGCCCCTGTCCCATTATCTTCCAAATGATTCACGTCTCATTTCTCCAACCACGACCCTCTCTTACAGTTTCAACAACTTCAATGTACCTGCTAATCCTCTTTCTCTTCTACAGAATGTGGAGCCTTCCAACACAGGAGAAGTAAAATTAATCACAGCATCTATCATTACTGCATGTAACACTTCACACAATCCTAAAGAAGGAAGATGATCATAATTTTCTTTTGCAAATGAAAATGAGACTCAGACAAGCTAAGAGATCAACACGGAGGCAGAGGCAAGAATCCAGATGCCCTGCTTAGCTCTCACTTGGCACAGCCCAGACTCATCTGAGAGGATAGACCCTACTGGAGAATTGCCTAGATCAGCTGGCCTGCAGCAATGGCTGTAGACTATTGTCTTGTTACTTGACATAGTAGGGCTCAGCCCACTGTGGTGGGCACCACTCCTTCCCTAGGTAGGTGATCCTAAACCACATACAATGCTAGCTGAAAGTCAGTCTGTCTGTGAGCCAGAAAACAGTTCTCTACAGTTCCCACCATGCTTATTTGGGTGCAAAGACACTGGGAAGAATAGCAATGCCAGCCTGCCTTCAAATTCCTGCTTGAGTTCCTGCCTTGTCTGCCCTTAATGATGGACTGTGACCTAGAGTTGTGAGCTCAAATAAACTCTTCTTCCTGCCCTAAGTTGCTTTTGGTCAAAATACTTTATCACAGTAACAGAAAGGAAGCTGGGATACCAGCCCTGGTTCGGTGACTCCCAGGGTACTCTTGCCACCATCCTGCTTGGCACTGCCATGTGCTATTCTTTCCTTCCCGGTATGTAATTCCGGGCATTGGCTAAGCCTTGCTCCATGGTGCTGGTCTTGTAGGAGACATGGCAGAAGGAACACTGTCAAGCAGAGGCATGTCACTAACTAAAAATGTGTTTGCAGTCAAAAGAAATAATCCAATTCCCAAGCTGTATCAGGAAACAACTTCAGATGAACTCTGAATGTTTCACATTAAGCATTGATAGACTTTCCTGAAGACCTGGGCTGCCTACATGAGGGATGGAGTCCTTTAGGCAAGAGAACCTGTGGCTGTGACCTACTGGGGAACTTGGGAGTCTCTTACCTGAGCCAACTTCATCATTGTGAACAAAGATGCAAATGATGAGTCTACACAGACATGCAGATCAGGGGTTTTCAGTGAGGCCTGACCAAGGCATCTAGTGAGCCCTGAGTATGACATACAGGTCAACAGAAAGTCTCTAGCAAAATATTGTCTTTGGGGATGAGCATGGGAAATATTTGTTTAGTGGATGAAGAGTCTCCTTTGGGGGTGATGGAGATGTCTAGGAATTAAAGAGCACTGGCCATTGTATAATACTGCTAATTTACTAAATTCCACTGATGTCATTTAAAATGATTTTTACATTTACATGAACTTTTCCCTGATTAAAAAAAAAGTTTAAAAAATACTGCTTCTACCAAGTGCCATGGTTCCCAAGGGGCCATGTTCAAAGTATGACTGAACACCGCTCCCACTCTGAGCACCATCTGCCAGCCCTGGATCCCACGTTCTACCCTTTCTAAAGCCAGGAATAGATGTTAGGATCCTTCCCTCTCTTCCTTGCCTTTCTCTGATGGAAAAAGTGAAGTTTCCTTTCCCAGGTTGATGGGATTGGGGGAAGAAAAGAGGCTTCTGTGTCTGTCCATGCACCCAGCTGTCAGCTCCAAGTTTCTACTATTACCAGCTGTGATGTCCCTACCAAAGCCAGAGGCCTGCTCGTCGGTACCTGGATCCTTGTCCTCTCCTGCTGACTGCTCTGAGTCACTGTCTATGGTCCGATCACAGTACACCCTGGTCTCTGTTCACACTCCTTGCAAAAAGGAGAGTTTGCCTTGTTTCTCCACATTAAGCTGTAACAGTACCCAAGATCTTAGCACAACTGACACCATGTTGGAGGCATCACTTGACCTTAGACCAGCACATAGGCCCCAACACCTGCCAAAACAGGAACAAACCTAATCTGTCACAAGCCCTGTCCATAGTTCCAGGATCCAGAAAGGTCCTAAATGTGACACCCTTGCTTGTTGGTTTTTTATAATTTCACTTCTCACTGTACTTGCTAACCGAAGAATGTCAACCAGAGTGTGTGTGTGTGTGTGTGTGTGTGTGTGTGTGTGTGTGTGTGTGTGTGTGTGTGTGTGT